CCCCCCCCGGAGTGATTCCAGACCTCTCTCTTTATTCATCTAATTTTCTGTTTTTCACTGTTTTTGCTTCCACTAATCTGCCTAAATCTACAATTCACCTATATCCTACATCACATATCCTCATGGAAACTATTTAACCTCAAGTATAAAAGCAAAAGAAACAGTAAATCTCTTCTGTTATGACTCTCAATGGTAATTGCATACATGACCACAAGAAAGGTAGAAAACATATATTAGCATAATTATGAACAGTATAATCAACACAGTTCATATCATTAAAGTTAATGGACTGGACCAAAGTAAAGATTGCAGTCATATAGCACAGTTTTATTTGCAGCTACAGAAACACAGTTTGACAGCTAGAGTAGGTAGGTTGAAGTAATGCAATTTTCAAATGAAAATAAGTGCAAATTCAACATATACAGAACAACATGACAAACCTAACAAGAAAGAAAGGACTTACCTCCTAGGGACACCTTGAGTGGAATATCTTATATTTTCATCATTAGACATAAAGGGAGGAGATCTGGCCCCTTTTGTGTCTTGGAATCTGGCAATCTTGGCCGTAACACTAGTTCCAGAATTACGAGAAACAACAAATGATGTGACGGCAGATGGCCTTTCTTGAGCCTGGGTATCATAATTTTTGAAAAAGGATCTCTGCTCATCATCCCAACTCGGATGAGATTCCGTGGACCTGGGAGCAAAAAATAGCTGCCAATATGAGTTATGACATTTTATGATTTAACATGAGCAGTGACCAGGTACCATAAAACACAGGAGTCACATTAAACACAAATGACCAATTACATGATAACAAATGCATGTATGGAAATGCAAAGCCCAAAATCAGTATCGCTAAACATATGTAACAGATAAATATATATGAGGACCAATATAATTATGGTGCACCTGGAACTCGCAAAGTGGCCCACTGACTGCATTTTCAGGACTTGGGTTTAGGGTTTAGGTGGGCATTTGTTTAATAGAGTTATACAGCATCTAAACAACCATTAGCTCAGATTCTAGGTTTAATTTCTAATCAAACTATTGCATGTGTCAATTTCCCCTGCTTGCTCACCTCCTTAACTAATATATCTTTCAGAAGAAAAGGGAAAAAGAAAACTAATTTTTTGTACACTATGTAGGCCAAAACGCAAAAATATGTATACATCCCCATGGTTTTGAACTACAGTAAACTTTTAAGTGGGTAACTATTTTCTTGACACGTTAAACCCAAAAATTAAATGCGCATACGCCTCAGGCACTCACCACTTTAAAACCACATGCAAAACCTACTCACCAATAGTATAAGAGATGCTAATTGGTTTTCTCGAATAATCTGAAAAGTTGAAGAGATGAAACAGGAGGAGCCACATTTATGGAGTATAGATACTCCCACATTTGTCAATGGAGCATCCTTGTGAAGGTACAATAAAATATTGCTGCGAGTATAATTATGTACTCAGTATTGGTTTTTATGCATAACTGAGCACATTCGTACATAAATGATTTACCACAGCACCACATTTACTGTCACATATGCATATAAATAAATCATACACGAAAAGGATTTTGTGACAGAATTGAGACAGATAACAAAGAAAAAAAGCATAAACACTAAGAGAAACACCGATTAATAAATTTAGAGGTTTACAATTATAAGGGTCGTCGTTACCTATGGACTCCTGCAGATGGGTAAGGATGACTTGGAGCAGGACGAGCACCTTGAAGGGCCAAATACGGTGAATGCAGCTTCCCTAGAGCTTCGGGTCCCCTATTATCAAAGGAAAACCATCAGTTTGTAATACATAACCAAAACCCAAATGCTCAATGACTATTCAAGCACAGGCTTTTACACAGCTCTTGACATTAATCCAGACTTGCACATGACCCTCAAACCCAAAGATGCAGTATACAGATTT